CTGGGGTGGGGGGAGGGCGGAGGGGGGGGGTCAGTTCTGAATATAGAGAAGTTTGTGGACGTCTCCAGCTGCATGTGTTTCACCGGACAGTGGTTTAATTGTCACATGAGGTGATGTATGCGTGATCAGGGATCCTGCAGGGAGAGGAGAAGAAAAACATGGAGCAGTGCAGCAGGATGCGATAAAACACCTGATGTGAGACATAGAAAGACTGGTTGGTTAAAGAAAAAAAAACATTTTTTTTATTCGTCTAATCCTAAATCCTCCTTGGGGTCGTAGCCAGACATTTACGATCGCGCCAGTGTTCGATTTAAAGTGTTAAATTCACCTAATCCCTAAACATTGACCAACAGGGAATCAAACAGTTCATCTTCTTGCTGTAAGGCAACGGCATTAACCACTATTTCACGCCGTGACCCGAGAAGGATTATTGATCATTGTGCTGCTCACAGTGGTCAATTCCAATCGAAGAATGACCTGACATTTAGAACATAGCATACCCCGCTGTCCGATACAGAGGGTCCTCGGTTTACGACGTCCTCGACTTACAGCGTTTCCTGGTAACGTCGCCATCTCCCATAAATCTATTCAAAAAATTCTCACTCCATCATTATGACTGACCTATGTCTTTAAGACAAGGCCAACTAGTTGATTGGATAAATACATCATCAGGTGGCGCTGTACGCAGAAAACGGCTTTGTTTACATTCACTTTCTTTTGTCTCTGTTCTTTTCCGGGAAACTTTTTGCCCTTCAATACGGCTCCCAAGCATAACCCAGAGCCTTCTGGCCGCAAGTACCGTTAGGGTCCGAGCATTATTCAAACCACACTCTTGCAAATACAAAAACCCAAGGCCAGAGTGACACACCATGTGCAGTAACACTCTCTGCCCACTGGCTGCCATTAGGTGCGAAGGAAGACGCACAATGAACGCGAAGACATTAGGCGTTGATGGATCAATAGTGGCTAAAAGCATTTAATAATTCAAATTGAATTAGCCTCTGGACAAACATTCATCTCAGTGCTCTTTATCCGGTGTCTCACATCATTTTAGACGAACTATTGACCGTGAATAATCGCACACTTTGTAGCTGAATATCTATTGCCTATTATACCAGGAATTTAGGTTCCCCGCGACAACAAGTTCACCCCAGTCGTGTTAAAATTCCTCCACATTCGCCAACTAGTTCCTGTGCTAACTAGTTGTTGTCACGCAGCGCTACACGCGGAAGACGGCTTTGTTTACGTTTGGATTTACATTGGATTGTGCTACATTTACTTTCTTGTTTTTTCAGGATCCTCCTTCCCTTCATTATGGCTCCCAGGTTAAAGTCAGACTCTTGGATTATGATGTTACCACTGTGTTATCGGAGATGTTTATGTACAGTTTGTGAGTTACGACTTATTGCCATCCATCCATCCTTCCATTTTCATCCGCTTATCCGTTACCGGGTCACAGGGGCAGCAGTCTCCATGACCGGGACTCGATTCCGCCCAGGAGGCGAACCCCGGGGCTGAACACCCACGACACAGACACTGCCTCCGGGCCAAAGCGCCTCCGACTTATTGCGTATGAAATAAATTCCCACATAAGTCGATGACCCCTGTAGGTACTCAATCAGTCTTACTGACCAATCACTGCTGTCCATAATTCATCTGTAAACATTATATCCAGAGGACATGCAGTACGTTTGCAAGAGGAAGAAAGAAAAAAAACAGAGAGCTAGTAAAAACCCTTTAACCCTTTTAAAAAAATGCCTCAAGAAATATTTTTTAACTTAATTTTTATCTTGCGAAAAAAAAAAAAAAACAGAGAGCTAGTAAAACCCCTTTAACCCTTTTAATAAATGCCTCAAGAAATATTTTTTAATTTTTATCTTGCATACCAAAGCTTTAAAGCACTTTTCTTCCTTATCACCACTTCTACATGGAGTTGAACAAGTATTGTAAATATTTTGTTCAGTACTGACAACACAGAAAAATGTGCAGCTTGTTTTCTTAGCAGGATTCCCATCCAAACGGCTGAAATCACCGTTACACTGTTTCTTAGAGAAAAGCTCCCTCTGGTGGGCAAAGCGGGTACACCTCGACAATGAAACGCAAAAATAAATAGTACATTTCAATGTTTTTAATAAGATTGTTTTTTTTCATATATTGTACTTGCATGAGTAAACCAACGAAGTATATACATATCGTTTTGTTCATCAAAAAGAAAACGTTTAAAAAGTGCATATGTAGTGATATATATTAGAACATGACACAAAAAAAAGACAGAGTCTAAATTTAAAAACAGAAGAAAACGTAGAAAAGAGAAATTAAAAGATAAAAAATAATGTCAATTTTTAAAAAAAATTACATTAAAAAATTACAAATGGGAACCTGGTACGGGGAATAATACAGTAAAATCGTCTCGTCGAAAGAAAAAAGTTACAACAAATGCAGCATGCCGTTTCGTAAAGAACCTTTTTCGGAATAGTAACGTTGAAAACAATGATACAAAGGTCAAAACAGACATGTGCTACAGCACGCGTAGTGTTTAATTAGTTTAGCTTCAACATAAAGCACTCGTGACTCGTTCAGTCATTGGCTACACAGATGATGAATTCCAATTAAAAGTACCTGCAGCAGTTAATTTAGTTTAGCGGTCGCTAAGTGTTGGGAGTCACCTTTGACCTTTCAGCGGTATGACTGTAAAGCCGTAGTATTTAAGGGATTTAATTCTTCTCCACCATGGCCATTTGGATTGTCTGAAAATTGGAAGTCAACAGTTGAACTTTTAAATTTTACCACTGTTTACGCTGTGTGGTACGTGGTACAGATGGCTCGATACCACTTTTTCACGTCTGATACCGATACTGCGACTTTCAATATTTGCCAATATTGCATAAATACAGTACCTTCTTTTCTTATTTGCCAATTCTGTACTGCGACTTTCAATATTTGCCAATATCGCATAAATATGCCAATGCTTAGGCATTAGTATCCCTGTTTCCGTCAAAGTTATGTTAAAAATTTAGGCTCAGGTATCGGATTTGTCAGGCTATAGTTGTTTTTTTTTGCTACGTTTCAATGTTAAAATTTTGACCAATACCGATCCTTAGATTGATCCACCCCTAGTATGTGGTAATAAACCATGAACCTGTGACTATTTTCACAGTAAAATATACTAGTATGTGGTAATAAACCATGAACCTGCGACTATTTTGCAAATTCGAATCAAATTATTTACAGACTTACTCACAAGTAAATGTGCCGTCTTAATGTCATTGGCTGCGAGGAATCAGGAGTTTTAGTCACAGTGGTCATTACAAATGATTTGATCTAGTGGTTTATTATTGAATTTAAATGACTTGAAGTGGTTTCGCCTCAAAAAGGTGGAACTAAAAGAGCTGTAATAGCAATAAAAATGATCTTCCCTACATCCACTGATTACAAGAAAAACTGATTACAACTCGAACTGTTGTGGACTGAAAGATTTGCCTGGTACTGTTCGTGGGTAAACTCCGAATACAAACCAATGTGAAAAAACACAGTACGTCATAATGACAGAAACGGATATGGCTCAAGAACCCAGTGGTGTTTCAAATGAATATTTAAACATCACTGTTTATTATAATATAAAACTACAAATCTGCTATCTCTCATTATTGCATATAGCTACAGATATACATTTAGTTGCCTTTAAAGATGAAACAATGCACATGTATGTTTTTTTTTTTTTTTATGCGGATGGTGACAACTGAACAGAGTAGAAATTTTAAAGTCTTTTTTTTTTTTTTTCCTCAACACATTCGTACAGTAGGCTGTTAGCATCGTCGAGTTAGTCCCACCCAGAGAGATGTCTCCGCTGGTGACGACAGTAAATACACATGCAGGTCAAAGGAACCTACCAAGATTCTTAAGAGCACCCAAAGATCAGCAGAAAATACATGATAAAAAAAATAAGAAGAATTACATTAAAATGGGTTAGTGTTCGGTAATAAACTGTAACCCGTTGACCGTATGCAAACAGATGTAGGTACCGAGTCGGTAAAGTAACGACAATAAAAAAAAATTTTAAAAAACTGTCATTGTAAAGATGTACATTCTCGCAGAGTTTCACTTTGTTTTCCTTAGCTTCCATGTTTTTATATATATATATATATACACAGTTGAGTTCCTTATTACCTAGTCATCAAATGATGTCATTTACACACAATGACGTACAGGATTAGTGCGTACGTGAAGTGACGCATACACCAGCAGTTCTCTGGCTAAAGATTAGTGTACACAGCTGCAGACGATACATGCAATAGCATCTACATGCGATACTGCAGGCCTAAGTTTGACTTATCTACTTTTTAAAATTATATGGAGTAAAAAAAGGAAAAAAAAAAAAAGTTTTTTGGCGATATGGTCATTTCTTTTCTGAAACTGACGCACATCGGATATGGTTTTTGTGTGATTGCTTCAACTTCTGGATTTGTAAGAAGATCCTTTAGGTAGGTTGCTGTTGACGTTATAAGACGCTGACGATGAAATTAAAAAAAAAAAAGTTTTATATTTTCCACTGTATCAGCGCTGGAAGACAATGATGTTAATTTTTTTTTTTAATCACAAAATATGGACGCGAGTGCCAAGTTTAAAACAGCTTTGAATTCTGTCACTCAAAAGCTACAGTTCACACAAATTCATGACACTTTTTTTTGCCATGTGGTTAAAACAACTTGATGATGTAATGACTGACTATAAAAAAAAAATAATACTAATAAAAACAATAGTTCTGTATACCAGTGGAGGCCTTACGTTGTTTTACTTGAGCTACAAAGTGGGTCTGAATAAAGCTAATTTTTTTGGGGCTACATAAAAATGCATCGTGTTACTCCTGATCCGTTGGCAGCTAACATAGGGCCTACGTAGTGGTTTCTGGTGGTGGTGGTGTTGAGAAATGCTATTTCAATGCTGCCCCAAAAAAGGTGGCTAAGCAGGTTAGTCGGTTTACATTTAAGGCTTCGGGGGAAATTTGTCTACGTCTCCCTTTTTATTCTAACATCAGTAACAAAGTTCAATATTGGTGCAGACAATTCTTAAAAGTAAAGAGAGGGAAAATAAACAACAAAACTGCGGTGGATGTAGAGACTGAACTGCTATCAGTCGGGGACATTGGCAACACGATGTTTCCATTCCATGATGTTTCCACAGTATATTTTCCTATACTGTATATAAGCAATCGGCAAAGCGAATCTATTTATATATATTTATATACAAAAAAAAAAATCAAAAGTGTCGTACAAAATGCTGACCGTGCGGCTTTCAGACGGTTCCGCAATAAAGTTTGGCCTAAGCTTCGTCGTTTTAAAAAAATTCATGAAGTTAAAGTGAAGCGGCGTTACATTTGGAAAGTGCTGGGTTTTTTTGCCTACGTGAACGGCATATCATTTTCTTTAGGTCAAATCTGGTGACTTTTATGCATATTCTCTCTCTCTCTCTCTCTTTCTCTAGAAAAAGAAAAACGTGGCTCTCTCTCTCTCTCTGGAAAAATAAAAAAGTGACGGTTCACCTTCGACACAAGGTCCACGCACAAGTACCTGATATATTTGAAGGTAGAAAAGAGCAGCTACAGGTATTCTACTACCAATAAAATCAAGTATGTTATTGCTATAGTCTATTAACATTCAAACCAGACATTCAACTTCTTATTGAGGCTTGGCCCAGTTTGGAAAAATAGAGGGTTGGGAGTACATGGGTGTTGATATTGCAGGAGGTTCTAAAGTGTTAAGGGGATTCAGTGACGAGGTGGGATGTTGGCAGCCGTGATGACAAACCAAGAAACACCTCAGTTTACGTGCTACGACGGCTGACGATCATTTGAGCGGCTTTAGGGCGAAACAACAGCGGAACGGTACAGTGTCGTCATCGGGTTTAGTCTGAAAACACTGAGTGGTAACAGTGACCTCTTTACTAATGGGGTCAATGTTTTATACTGCCAACAGTTCTGTGGTTTTCTCACTCTAATTGGGTCAGTGTTGGAGTAATGGTTCCTAAAACCAAAGAAGTGTTGGTCAGTTAGAGCATCTGAAGGAATGAAGGGGCTTGAAATTTGGCTTGAAAACAGTGGTTTTCAACCTTTGATTCCATTTTGACGTCACAAATTTCTGGCAACTCCAGAGACATTTATTTCTGGAATTAGCTTCTGATCGTATTTGATATACTGTGTTGCAAATGCTAGTTAATTTAAAAAAGAGTAATAATTAGTTGAAAATATATTTTTTATCAGTAATTTGTTTTTTATAAATTACTAGACATTTCAGGCGACCCTACGTGGGGTCCCGACCCCATGGTTGAAAAACACGGCTTTGACCAAAACCCCTTGAAATGTTCAGATGAACGTTGCCTTAACATGGTTTACGACCTGTTGAATTTCCCTAGTGATAAGTGGTACGTTTGAAACGGACGACATTTCAAACTGAACAGTGACGTGAAGATGAAGCGCGTGTATCTACTATATCATATATACATTAATGGATAACTTCTTAGTGTAAGAGGAAACGCAAAGTGCAAACGACATTCCAGTGATGCATACATACTACGTCGCCGAAGGCCATTTTTATTTCCCGGGTACAGTATTGCGAGGCGCAAAAGTTTGTTTCCCACGCGAGGAAGGAAGAAGCGTATCGACAAACTTTCTTGTCAGTTTCTGCACTGAAGTATTTATATTCTCCAGCGATGTGAATTCATGTGAAGGTGTGTCATTCCAGGTACACCTCAGAGATGATTCGTGATGAAAAATAATGGCAAAACGTCTGTCGCAATTTCTCGATGCCAGTTTTCATCCAGGATTTTTTTTTTTTTTATATGAAATATTCATACAAATAGATATTATAGTCGGTCGTTAATAGTAGAACTGGTCATTTGCAAAAGTGGGCCGGTTGGATGCCCACAGCCGTTTGTTTATGGCAGTAAACTAAGAATTATTCAATTTTGGACAACAAATGATATCTTAAGACACTGTGAGTTAGAGGTTTTTAGAGATAATGATTGACATTTCAGCACTGTCCTATAGATCTGGGGTTCCCAAACACCGGTCTGGGGACCGGTGCCAGTCCGTAGGCCATTTGGTACCAGGCCACACTTTTTTCATTCAAAGATAATTTGTCAATGTTTTAAAACAACAGAGTAAAGTCGAAATGTTTTATTTTGAAAATGTAACGGTATCACCAGTCTGCAGTAACGGCCGATAAAGGTGAGGTCCTGCCAAAGTCGAAATGTTTTGTGACGAGTACTTTTTGAAATGAAACTCCCATGAGCGTGATGGTGTTAGGAATATAAAACATTAGGGCTTTTTGACTACAAAATTGATTGTCAAATATTCTCATAATTGGTTGAGTGATAATTCTCTGTTAATGTCAGCTAATTTAGCGTTCCTTTCACCACATTAGTCACATTAGGCTGAACAAAATCATTCCCTTCTGCCGAGGGTTCTGTTGAGTGTAAGTGAGGTGAACTCGTCAACTTATTTCAACTGTGAAACAAAACGAAAGTGACCTCTCCAACTGTTAAAAAAATGCTCCTCAACATGACAGATGATGTTGTGAAAAAAATGCTCCTCAACATGACAGATGTTGTAGAACAGGGAGGGTTTTTTTTTCTTTCTTTCTTTTCTCACTGATAAAAGGTGCTGATTTAAAAAAATGAGTCTTTTCTAATATTACTAAAGGTGTAACGAGTCCCTTTTCTGAGGAACGACGGAGGGAAATTCTCTCTGCCGTCATACAGACCTCAAAAAATATATCTTAAACCATGAAGCCAGAATAAAAATTAAGTCTTTCAAGCAATAATTTTATCACTAAATAATAATAAAAAAACCTTATTTGAATGTACAAACCAATAGCGTACATCTTGATAAATACATCTGATGATCTCTTAAATGTAGGCACAAGAAAATTAGCTGCAATAAGGATGTTAAATATGACTGTGGTGACTGTATATCATTGAGGCCTCTGTGTTGTACTTGCGGGAGATTTCGTGCTAGTGGACAACTTTCGGGAAGACGCTATCCTCTCCAGGGGCTTCTTCCCGTTTGCCGGAGACTTGAGAGACGAGTCAGATAAGGAAGACTTGGACTTGCCCACGTGCAACAGAGTGCGGCTGAGCGAGCTGGGGGGTCTGGAAGACTCTTTTATTTCGGACTTAGTCTCACCTCTGCGGACGTCTGACGACGCGGCGTCTCCGGGCCGCGCGTTCTCAGCAGCGATCTCCTTGTTCTGCTTGCACGTCCTCTCTGAGGCCTTTTTAACAAGCATGGTGCTCTTTCCCAAGTCCGCCGACCGACGGCTTTCCCGTTGTCGGAGAGCGCTCTTGAAAAAGGAAAAGCCTTTTTCCTCGGACTTGCTGCTGCGCTGCAGGTCCCTGGTGGAGACGCTGGGTGAGCGAAGGCTGGTGACGGAGGAGCTGCTGCTGGAACTCCTCACGGATTTCCTGTCGACGCGGGTGCTCTCGCCACTCCTGGAGGGCGAAGAGCGAGCTACCGAGCTGCCTCGAAGACTGTTGACCATAGGGCTAGTGTGCATAGAATCCCGGCTGTAGCTCCGTTCTACCATACGTTTGCGACTGCTCACAGTGCTTTTGTCGGCTATGCTGGTATTCTTCCTGACAGAAGGCGAAGGAGAAGCGGAGGACTGAGGCGTGGAGCGCACGCACGGCTTGTGATGCGGTGTCGTGTCCACGGCTTCCTTCGTTTTGGAGGGAGTCGTGCAGGGGGTTGAGATGCTTTTCTTGATGCCTACGCTCTTCTCCTTAGTCGTGCTGACCTTCTTTCCCTTAACAGGAGTACTAGAAGGTGTGTCGGTAGCCGAGTTCCTATTTGTGGAGCACAGCCGTTTTTTAGACGCTTTATCTTGTTCTGCTTTGTTGGAGGTCTTCGTGGAAACTTTGCTTTCGACCTTTTGGCCGAAGCCGCCAATGCTGCTCTTACGCTTCTGTTCTTTTGCCGGGGTTGTCTGAGCGGGTAGTTTGTTTTGGTCCACAGCCGTGACCTGGTTGTTGTTTTCCGTGGGCTCATTTTTGGCGCTCTTCTTTTCCACTGGAGTGGGAGCCCTGCAGTACATCATGTCTAGGAACCTTTTGCTGTTGTCCTGGTCGTTTGTGTTGCTCTCCATCACAGAAACTGGAGTCCTGCTCCCAAAGTACCGCTCGTGTCTGCTGTAGCTGCCAAAACAGGACGTAGAAACCTTGTCATCACAGGACTCGCCTATTCTCTCCAGCGGAGGTGAACATCGAGAGTCCAGAGAGAAGCGCGAAGGGGAGTTGGATCTCATGTGCAGCTTGGCAGAGAGCGACCAAGAAGGCTTTAGTCCACTGTCGCTCAATGCCAAGGGGCTCCCGATGGACGACCGCGAGGACAGGCTCTGTCGCTGGATGCTTCTGACGAAAGGACGAACGGAGAATCCTCCTGTGAAGGGGGACGTTTTTATTAGACTTGCTGATGCAGCTTTGTGGTCAGTCAGGTGACCTTCTACAGTAAAAGTGCAGGAAACCTTAAACTGTTGAAACTATAGAGGTCGACGCGGGCGCTCTCGCCACTCCTGGAGGGCGAAGAGCGAGCTACCGAGCTGCCTCGAAGACTGTTGACCATAGGGCTAGTGTGCATAGAATCCCGGCTGTAGCTCCGTTCTACCATACGTTTGCGACTGCTCACAGTGCTTTTGTCGGCTATGCTGGTATTCTTCCTGACAGAAGGCGAAGGAGAAGCGGAGGACTGAGGTGTGGAGCGTACGCACGGCTTGTGATGCGGTGTCGTGTCCACGGCTTCCTTCGTTTTGGAGGGAGTCGTGCAGGGGGTTGAGATGCTTTTCTTGATGCCTACGCTCTTCTCCTTAGTCGTGCTGACCTTCTTTCCCTTAACAGGAGTACTAGAAGGTGTGTCGGTAGCCGAGTTCCTATTTGTGGAGCACAGCCGTTTTTTAGACGCTTTATCTTGTTCTGCTTTGTTGGAGGTCTTCGTGGAAACTTTGCTTTCGACCTTTTGGCCGAAGCCGCCAATGCTGCTCTTACGCTTCTGTTCTTTTGCCGGGGTTGTCTGAGCGGGTAGTTTGTTTTGGTCCACAGCCGTGACCTGGTTGTTGTTTTCCGTGGGCTCATTTTTGGCGCTCTTCTTTTCCACTGGAGTGGGAGCCCTGCAGTACATCATGTCTAGGAACCTTTTGCTGTTGTCCTGGTCGTTTGTGTTGCTCTCCATCACAGAAACTGGAGTCCTGCTCCCAAAGTACCGCTCGTGTCTGCTGTAGCTGCCAAAACAGGACGTAGAAACCTTGTCATCACAGGACTCGCCTATTCTCTCCAGCGGAGGTGAACATCGAGAGTCCAGAGAGAAGCGCGAAGGGGAGTTGGATCTCATGTGCAGCTTGGCAGAGAGCGACCAAGAAGGCTTTAGTCCACTGTCGCTCAATGCCAAGGGGCTCCCGATGGACGACCGCGAGGACAGGCTCTGTCGCTGGATGCTTCTGACGAAAGGACGAACGGAGAATCCTCCTGTGAAGGGGGACGTTTTTATTAGACTTGCTGATGCAGCTTTGTGGTCAGTCAGGTGACCTTCTACAGTAAAAGTGCAGGAAACCTTAAACTGTTGAAACTATAGACTATAACCATATTGAGAGGTCAGTGCAATGTGAAGACTCGAGAAAAGGTTTTATTCTCTTAACTTAAAGATAATCTACTTGACTGATTCTTTTTTTAAACTTAAAGATAATCTACTTGACTGATTATTTTTATTTTTACTTTTTTAAACAAAAGTAAACCTAATAGTGGAAGAATTGCTGCATTTTTGATACATAAATTTAGAATGCTCATATTGCTGTGGTCCAAGCAGACATAATTAAATGTTAACAACACTTAATACTACATTTAATACTACAGAACAATGGTTTACAGTCACTGTTTTACTAGTTCAGATTTTAAATTTCAGGCAATAACGTCATTTACACTAAAGGAATTCACAATGAGACATCCGTCCTTACCATCATCCTCACTGCGTTCGCCTGGACACTCCACCGATTCTGCCAGAGAAGCGAGGGAGGTGCGTCTGGACGAAGCTCCGGAGGTCAAACTGGCAGGCCGGCTACCGGGCAACCTGTTCACCCAGTGGTCACACAAGGACGAACTAGTGGATCCTGAGTTTATTCAAAAAAAAAAAAAAAAAAGATTTTTATTTGAGTTGATTCTGATTCTCAATCAGATTTTCCTGGTTAAATAAAATAAATATATTTGAAGCCTGAGACAAAAATCTTGTTCATAAGTTATAGGTCTCATGATCTTGTGAAGAAATTATGATACAAATGGTTTAATAGGGATGAATAGATTTTGGGAACTGGATGGAGACTGACCAGCGACAGAGCTGTTGGCCGACCAGGACGGGATAGCAGTTCTCCTCTGGTAGAAGAGGATATACGCTGTTTGCTGACACACATCATCATCAGCTACCGGAGAGACCTCACTGTCATCAAAGCAGTACCACTGACCGTCGATGGAGTTCTTACAATACGCTGTAAAATTAGGAGAGGAACAATAAAAACAAGGGATTAAAAAAAAATCATGACAGCCATTGTTTTTTTTGGTTTTTTTTTGTATTTTATTTATTTTACCAGTGTAGTGGCCTCCGTGCATGTTGCCATGATGGTTGCACACGGCGTACAAGTCATAAAGGTAGTCGTCGGGGTTTCTGCCCAAGCCATATGACTTTCTCCACGGTGACCAATGGGCAGGCAAACTCCAACTGCTCTGACTTCTCTTCACCACATGAGGTGCCATATCCATGCCCATCAACGGGAACCGCACCATGTTTTGCATTTTTACCCTGCGATCGCCTTCCTGAGAGACGAGGATTTCACACGAAAACAGCAGCAGCTCTGCTTAGAACACATTCTGGAAACAAGCACTTTAATTATGGGGCAGAAAGCGCTTCATTACCTGTCTGAACCTCTTTAAATGCAGTATGAGTACATCCGGCAGCGTCCACAGGCTGAGCTTAATGCGGCCCTGCTGCAGCTGCTTGCAGTGGGGACAGCGCCAGGCGTCGTCTGGGGCCAGCTAAAACAAACACAGACACGGCGCAGCAGCAATCACGAACGGGCTCTGACCACACAGTGGATAAAAGCTGTCTCAGACAGGAAGAGTCTTCCTCCCCCGCACTCAAACGGAACGCTCAGAGGAAAGTTCTAACCTGCTCTTCCTTGGTGTAGAGCTGGAAACACTGGGCCAGAGTGCAACCCTGCGGTTGACGATGGTGTTCCCTGTGCAGATACACGCTCTCTGCATCAGGAATGTACTCCTCCTCGGTGTGACCAAACAGACTGTGGGAGGACGAACCACAATCATCCATTTAGTCAACACGCTAGACATGTGAGGATAGGCCTGGAACAGTTTATTTTCCTAAATAAAACCGGGTCCAGATGCTGAATCTTAAGCTGGCCTATATATATATATATATATATATAAAAAATAAATTATATATTATATTTATATATATTATATTATTATTATTATATATTTATTTATATATAATATATATTTATATTATATACATATATATTATTCTTTCTTCCCTGCATACTTGACATGTCCATTTTGATAGATATATATACATATACATACATACATACATACATATATACATATACATACATATATACAGTATATATTTATTAAAATGCACATGTCAAGTAGATGTCAAGTATGCGGGGAAGAAGAAAATATATACAGGAAAAAGGAAGACCACTTATATATAACTATATATAACTTGCAGTTTTAGATGCAAACCTGACATTTACAGTAAGTAAGTACAGTGATTGTCGTTAGTCTAATGACAAGCGTGAACTGGTGCAACTCACTAGTCCTTGGTCTCTTTGTCCCACTCGACCACGATCTTAACATGCGGTGGTCCGCCTTGCCCGCAGGACTTGAACGCTCTGGAAAAGAAGGGGACGACACATCGGGTGGCAAGAATATATTAAAATGTTATATCAGTGTAAAGTATGTCATGTGAAACCGTGGAAGGCTTTTGTGCACTAATAAGTCAACAGACGAAGATTAGAAAAATACACTACATCGGTGATTCTCAACAGGTGGGTCGTTACCCAAATGTGGGTTCGCGGACTGGTTTTCGGTGGGTCATGGAGCTTTGTTGATTTCACATTATAAAAGAAGCCATCCATACGCTATGAACTTACCACAACTGAGGATGGTAAACTCATATGACAGACTTTATGAAATATGGGTTTTTATACAGAGGACAAAAGAGGACAAAATGTCACTATGTCTGAAGCACACTATTATATCTCCTCTCAAGTTCAAACGGCATCATCTTTCCATTCAATTAATCTAAGGAGTTGAAAATTGTCCTTGATCAGGGTCAATGTTTGTGATGCTAGGGGCTAAAGCTAGACCAGTCGAGGATCACTGCACCACTGGGCTTTACCTAAGAAAATGACGAAGACTTTTAGTCTGACACTGAAGGGAAAGGTTGCTCAGCCACACAATCTGCAATGTTGTGACTTGTTTTAAAAAGAAGATCTAACCGTATTAAGGGTTAACAAACAGGATTTTTAACATTCAGATACCTTGTTAGGACACGTCATCACGTCGTGTCTTTGGGAGATAATACTAACAAAGGCAGATGTGTGGTGACAGGTTGGACGGTTAGAAAAAGAACTGTGACTTCACCAGAATTCCTTTGTGTTCGAATGTACACAACAATTCCCTTTGATTTGTCAACCGTTTTTTTTTTTTTTACTGATAACCATATTGACTTATTGGGGCAGTCTTTATCTTTAATTTCATATATACACATACAGTGTTTACTTTAATCTCTGTCGATTTGAGTCAACCTTTTCACTCAACGCTATCTACTGAGAGAAACTCTTGATATTTTAATTTAAAACTAACACAAATGCAACCAGTGATTTAACCTTCGGGAAATGACTGAGCATGTGAAATTGGACTCACTTACTTTTGTTGAATCTCATTGATGGGATTTTTTTTTTTAGCTGGATCTAGATACACTTGATCCAGTGTAGGTAGAAAAAAAAGAAAGAAAAAAAAAAGAAGAAACCTGTATTTTGGGATGGGATATCTCTTGCCCTTTGGCGCCGGACGCACAAGGGCACTCATGACAATACGACACATCCAGAACCACTGAGGACAATCTGTCCCAGTCAATAATCCTGCCGGATAAATGGGCTTGAATTTAACCTTCCACTTATTTGTTTGTGCGCTCTGCTGGCACTTAACTCACTGAAGTGTTCGTGCCGAGTTAGAACCACGCTGCAATTTAACAGTCATTTTACTGTGCGATCATTTATAATTTGCAGTGTGTTCTCAAAAACCACTCGTGCTGTTAGTTAGTGCCCTTGACTTTGGTCTTGATTTTTCAGCTTTCAGACTGTAAGTTACATTTATAATCAAAAATGGAACATGATTTTAAAGACACAGCTAGTAAATGGTGTGGCTTTATAATGTGAGGTACCAACATTTTTTTTTTACCAGTTGCTTTGCTATTAGCAAGCAAGTTAAACAGTTCTTCACGACAACACTTGAGCATCAACATAAGACAGAAAATGGCTGTCTCTGAAAAATATTTTGTGTTATGAAGCAAAAAACATATTTGCACCAAACTAAATCATTCAAAATGTTGGTGAATTTTTTGTTGACTTCATTTTTTTAAACTAAATTTCAAACTGACCTTTCCACTGTCGGATGGCACAGAGGTCGCTCATCTTGAGGAAGGAGGTAGGTTATACCGACGACGCCAACTACCCTCAGACTAAATGGTCCCACCTATACACAGAGACATCAATTAGGTCTTCTGAGAGACCAAAAAAAAAAAAACAGAACATGTGGGAATCACGCCTGACTCAACAACCTACCTGGATGTAGACGCCCGGTCGCAAAAGATGACGCATCTTCTCCAGGATTTCTTTTTGAAGCCCATCCCAAGTCACAGTGCGATCCATGTACAGTACAAATGGCAGACCAAATCTACGGACACAGTACATTTTTTTTTTTTAGCTTTATGAATTGAGGATACTAAGGTTTGTTTAAATGGCAAAAAACAAATGAAATGGCAGTGTAATGAGAATGGACGTCCTCTGACTGTGTACCTCTTCCCTTGGTGGCCAGTACAAGCTCTGTTACAAACTAACAGGATCATTTTTTCCGGTGCAGGGGTTTTATTTGGTGATGCAGTTACCGGAGTCATCGCTCCCTGCATGAAGGACGGAGTCCTGCTGATTTCATTCCCATACTTTAAGTTGTTGTGATTCAGATTGGCCAAAAGGCTCCCTGTAAAACAAGTGTAGTTAGACCTCTGTAAATAAAAATAAAATTAGTGAAAAATAAAATAATCAGCATCACCTCTTTTTGTACGTAAATTTTCCAGTTTGAAGGTTTCTGGGGTCTCAAAGGCGAAGATGGAGTCGCTCTCTTGAATGATGTTTAAATCGTCATCGTCGTCACAAAAAGAGCGGTGGAAACCGTCGTAGTACATTTCAGTCAAAACAAACTGTAAACACATTAAAAAGGAGAACATTAACTCTGTCATTCCAACAGCAGGCATAATAGCTTCACTGTTTATGACACGGTAGCCGTCACTGACATTTACTCTCATAAATGCTTTTCATTAGTGTTAGCCACCCAGTTGCTGTAGCCCTGAGGACAAAAGTGTTTACAGACGACAGACTCTCTGTGTAGTGAGCTCCCTCTGCGAGGAGACCTGACTTTCTTTACGTTGCAGTAACACTCCGTGACCCGACTACGGCAGACTCTGAGCTCTGTTAAGTGACTGGAATAGCACCTGATCCATGGGGATCTTGGTTTCACGTGTAACGGCGTCTCGGAGGTGATAAACGGTGCTGTTAAGGGGAACAGCCACTCCGATCCTCATGCAGTGAGAGTACTTTCCCTGGTAGACCACGGTCACATAGAGAGGCCTGGAACAAACCAGAAATCACAAGTGAGTCCTGCTTGATGTGTAAATAAGAAGTTGTAATACCCAAACAGGTACAAATTCTGAGATATGTGTACAAATTAAACTGCCGTCTCGACACCCTGAGCAACAGAGCGTATTCCACCCACGTGTGTCCTTGCGCTCGTTAAATGAAAAACTTACTATAAGCGTATATTTGGAAACTGTTGTTAGAGTTCGAGTGCGGCACTCACCGTGTGTGAGGAAGTGGAATAGGCAATGAGATGCAGAGGAAGGGATCAAATGTATTGCTCTGTTTTTGACAGTGTGGGCAGGTGAGAGAAGACCTGTTTGGGAATAGAATCATTTATCTTTATAATTCAAACAACATGGATGCACAAAAGTCTATTTTTTTTTTTTTTTTTTTTTGACGTTAAACCTGCCTGTACTGAGCTTGAAAAAGCTCATGCACAAATGAGCCGGCAGACAGAGGAGGAGAAGGACCTTCTAAGGTTTGATCGTCTTCCTCAATAGGTGGCTGAAAAAAAAGGAGGAACAGAGAAGAATCATTACATTCTACTTATAATAATAATAATCTCTCTGATGTCTCAAAATAATAAACATTAAAATGGGGTTTCATTTCATTTTAAATGAACCATAATTAAAACTCTTCACAGACACAACACATCATAGAACGCCCACACACAATCAAACATGTTTTGGTGTTTAGTCTGGACTTTGGTGTTTAGACTGAACGGAATATCTCCATCTTTTCGCTCAATTTCGGTTCAGTTCAGTTGGCTCTGTTAAGCATGCAGAGTTAAAATTATTTATTAAAAAATATTACTAAAAAATTAAGTTTTTTAAATGAAAGTTTTTTAGTATAAATATTCTTATGATCTTATAATATATAAATATATATATATATATATATATATTATAGATATATTGTCTAATACATTGTCTCAAGCAACGGTTTTTTATTACAGACATATGTTTCCATTTGGATTGAAATTACTCTTTGTTAATGAGAAAAACAAAACCGTCTGAGATCATTCCCCTGTTTGGTGTCCTCACTTTGTTTTATTGTTTTGTTTTGTTTTTAATTTCACACACTATATGCAGACACATACAGATCTAAAAAAAACACCAATAACAATGCTGTAAATTGTGATGTAACAATGCATCATGAATCAATTCAAAATCCATACAAATGTGTGACAATTTGCATTGCAGAAATCGTGCATCAAAGCGTAGGGAAGGGGAATGAGTTATCTCAAACATCGGTAGTCGTACCGTGAGACTTTCTAGTAGCAGAAATGAGGTGGCGGTATGACCTACTTAAAAACGTCGTGACGTCCCTACCAGCCTAAGTGACATTCAGGTGTTCAAATAGAATGTGGGAAAAACTTCCACAGAAACAAACAGCGATTCCATAAAGAAAGGAACTCTTTCCAATAAATATTTTATACATTTCTTTGTTGTTTAATATGTTGACAGTTAGAAAGAGAAATAACACCAGACAGTTTTTATTGGAATAAGAGGAGATAAATGGTGATGTTATTCTTTCTCTTATTTAAGATAACAATTTATGGATGGATGGATGGATTTTGCATAGTTCTTCCCAAAAATAAATCACTGGATTGGGTCATAATTTGTCTGGAGCTCATCTTGTTTCAAGAAATAGTGATAAAATCACATCACGTACAAAAACTGTGCGCACGAACAGGTTACAAAAGAACACATGCACGCGCACATACACACAAAACCCACTCTTGTAATTCACCTTAATAGGAGGCCTGATGTTGGGGTTGACTGTGTTGAGATCCTCGTGCACTCTGTCCAGCAGCCACAGCAGAAACTCCTGAGCGTGTGTTGAGCGTTCCCTTTAAACTGCACGGCATTTTTTGACACGACACTCTGCAACGAAACCAAAGGGTAACGATGCTGACCAAGCCAGAACATCTGTGCATTTATAAAACCCACACTCTGGAACACAATTAACAACTGTGTCTACAATTACTTCGCAATACCTGTTTTTATGAGTTACCCTGAGAGGGTCACGCATATGCAATTAACAAATTCAGTCGCATGATCTGCTGAGGCAGACGTGTGAACACCGAGTCTGCCTCTTCTGGAGATTTCTTCCCCGTTAAAAATGTGTTTTTTTTCTCCATACTGTTCCCAAAATGCTTGCTCATCTAGTGTGGTTTAAACTAATATTTGTAAAACATATCCTGCTCTATTTTGTTTTCTTCATATCAACTCAATACACAGTATTATTGGTAGTATAAACGTCCCTCCCTTTGTCCCCGTTATGAGGAAGTCCCTGTTGAATAGAAAATCTAATTTTAATCTTATGTATAAGCTGTAGGAAAAATGTGTGTTTTGTGAATTTGGGCCAAAGAAATAAAAATTGATGGGACTCTATAATATAATTCTACAGCCTTTTAGGTAGAAGTCATGAATAATATCAAATCCATGTCTGCTAAATTAGGTATTTACGACCCAGTTTGCCTCATTATTCACTTTATTTAACAAGATTATAAGACTTTATGATGCAAACCATGCAAAATACAAACCATTATCTGTGTGACCACAGAAATGAGCAGGTTAAAATATGACTTTTATTGGAACAGTCATTGTAAAGAATATGTACAGAAGACAAGTGTTTCTCAAATGGCTGGGATTTAATCAAATCTTATAGTTGGTTTAATGGAGAGAACAGAAAATATTTCTAAGAAGGCCAACAGAAAATATTGTAACAGAAGAAATATGCATGCTACTTCGACAGGTTTTTAAAAGATTCACTTCCACTACGACGTCAGACGGAATCCAATAGATAAATGCATATTAGACTGTTTTGCACCTTTACTAAAACATGAGGTAAGATCTGTATTGATTTGGGGTTGCATTTCAGCCAGTATTGTTAGGAGCGTGGTCGTGACTAACCCTGTCCTTCCTTACCAGGTTGAAATGAAATATCGTCTTGTAATCTGATGGGTTTTGTACTAAATACTTCTGTCTGATTTTATTTTCTTATCTTCAAGGTACTGTGTTGTTTTTCCACTTTACACCTACACCACTGTCCCTTTATCTGTTTAAATTTGGTTAGAATGACCACTGTGTTTATCCTCTTTATAGTCAACAACAGGTAAGGACAAGGCCCAACATACTGGAGATTAATTCTAAATGGAAGTGAATGTTTGAAGGCACATCTGCTGCGGTGACAGCAGGTCTAGTTCTGACACGAGCTAAATTTTTAGTATTGCAATAAACAGAATTTCATTTGCCCAACATGTTTTTCCTTTTAGCAGCAATTAGTTAGTGTCATATTTATCTTCCTGGCGATGGGTCAGAGGTCACAGAACCTACAGTAAATATTGGTATTTCCGATCACTAATAAAGAGGGATGCATTACTATGGTATAAAATAAAAATGTTAGGAAGGTCTGAATAAAGATAACCGAATAAACTAATGCTGGTAATTTTAAACTTACAGTTTGAATACAATGTGAGAAATTGAGCAATATTTTGCACATTAAAAACATGGTACTATTTCATCTGCATTTAGAAGTTAACCATATTTTGGCACCTATTCTGAAAGATTACAGATGCAAAATGAATAAAGGTTGAATGCTTAATTATTTTAAGCTATTTTTTTTTCCAATTTTCTGTCCTTGTCTTTTCCATGTCCACTGCATTTGGCTTCTAGTTTTCAGACGTTAGACTTCCTGTAACTTAGTACTATGCTGTCCATAGGGTATAACTTTTAAATAATTTATTGTCGCGCTGTCTATAATTATGTGAGCCACAGGTGTTGTTCATGTCCAGTCACTCCGTCCTACCTTGAAGTCTCTGCTGTGCTGTGGTGTATACTCAAACGTCCACAAAGCCCGCACAAGTCCTGACAGCTGCTCGGTGACCTCTCCTTTGGCCAGAGGACCTTTCTTCTGGAGAAGCGCTGCAGTCGTTTTGGGTTTGCCCTCGTCGTTCTCCTCTTCTTTGTAATGCTCCAGAACCAGGAACTCGGCGAAGAGCTCAGTGTTGCTGAGGCACTGCAGAATTGCATTCATGAAACAGGTATTCCCGTGGTTTTTTAGACCCGATACCCCAGGAACTTTGTCACCACACAGGAACCCTCCCATGTCACCTTCGTCCATTGCCAAATCATCTTTATCTCCAGATTTGAAGGAGGAAAACCCTCCATCATCCTTGTCCTCCTCTGCTTGCACTTCAGATCCATAGTGTGAAAGGGCTGTCAGTGTCCTCAGAACCTTGCCCATAAAGGTGCCCAAAGAGCGCACTGAGCCCCTCCTGAAGAGCTTCTTACTGAAGCTCGACTTCTTGTCCTTGGCTGCAGCTTTGCAAGACATTATTCCTGTTTCACAGGGGTACAGCTCTCAGTCATAGAGATACGTTTTGCAAAGGAAGACCCATCTCTTCGGCTCCTGGATGTTGCCGTTTCATTTCCAGAAAAATAATGCGTGTAAACAGCAGTAACGTCAGCCGTTATGTGTATAACGTTTAAACAGGTCTTTACAGTTCAAACAAGCACTACTACTATACCAACCTTCTCTCTGAAGCATTTTGAGGCCAGTTATATAAGAAGCACACAGCGAACATCTCGAGTCGGTGGGTTTGTCACCGCAACTTGCTCCACAGGTTATCTTATTTGTGCAAATCGACTCCCTGCCCTGCAGCAGCGAAACCACTGCGGTTATGTCAAGACTGAAGACCGCACCGCGCTATGTGGTATTAATGCGGCTATTGCTAGCGCTAGCTACAAAAACAACCGCCGCACAAACAGCGATAGTCCATTTTGTTCGACATTTCCAGGTTCCACACAAACAGCTGCTCCGCCATGGTGTGCCCCTACCGCTGGTTGGGTAAAAACCGGTGTCCGAAAATGAGTAAACCTCGCTTTTGTCGCATACTTGGAACCACATTCAAGCTATAGGCTACAGACCAGAAAATCTTTTTTTGGTTCTTCTTCTCTTTGTTATTTTTTTGCCATCAGCTGGTAACAGTTCGCAGCCTCACGAGGGCCTTCTGCTGGACTGGCGTCAAAACAGCAACAGCGATGCTAAAGCAGATTTTCCACAAACGCCCGCCTACGTACTGTAAAACACGGTATAAAACAATTTAAATAAACAAAAAACAAAACAAAGAACCACAGTGAATTCTAGTTGATACACTAAAATTAAAAGGCTCTTTGCATAAAAGAAAAAGCAGACAGTAATGTAACGAATTTGAGCAGAAGCAACTTTAACCTTCCTCTGGTGTTCGGGTCAGCACCGACCCATTTCCAAGTTTTAAATGCATTAAAAAACACGTAAATTAGTTTATTGCGTCAAGGCTTTTTGACTTTGTCAAGAACCTCTATTTCAACAAAATAAAACAAAAAAAAT